CAAAAAAGCGATTGAGGATTACGTGGAATGAGTCGAGGATTCACGGAAGTTGACATGACGGCCGGCGATCGATGGGATGGGAACTCACAGTGGCCGTGAACGTTCATCAAAAATATTTTTGAAAATATTCACAATCAGAACAGAAGATGGGAACTTACCTAGCCGGTAGATGTTTCTGGCCCTGGACCAAAGCCAGCAGAATACTTCCAATTGCCGGCATTGTTAGCTCTCCTCGATGGGAATTTCGTTCACCGAGACCGAGATCAACAATGGCTAATCGTCGACGGCCACCTAAAAATATTTGGAAATATTATGTTTCAACTTTCAGACCTTGAAACCTTCAAAACGAACCACAAGAGCTTTAAAGAGGTTAGAACTTACTTGACAGTAAATAATTTTGGGGAAAAGGAAACGTTTCCTATTAATAGTGAACTCAATGAAACAAACAGTAAGTCGAAAATCAATAAAGTCAATACAGGATATATCATTCAATAAGGGAGGTAAACGCACCTTCAAGTTCATTGGTACCAGTTCGATAGGCATAAACGGACAGAAACACGAATACATGGCTGGTACGATATGTCTCTTCGTCTTCTTAAACAATTAGGCATTTCTATTGATCGTCATTGATCGACAAAGCAACTCCACTTCAATAATTCATGATACTTCGGCGTACTGTATTCAAGTAAAAAGAGCTAATTCGCGCGAAATTCGACCCGAATTTCGGATTTCGGCTCTCGACAATCGCCTACCGGCTCGCGATCGTCTACTCTACCCGTACTGTCCGTCGGCGTGGATCTTCAATGGAATCTAATTTATTGATCATTTCTGAAGCTAACGAAATCGATGATCGACCAACCGCTGCTGAACGGTGACAGTAAGTCGGTGAGATGATTTTCGCGTTGAGAATACTGTATGGCAGCAACGATCTGATATCGAGTTGTCAGCGTTACTAACATCGAAACTAAATATCATTCCCAAACATAATTTCATCTTTAACCTAGAAAGCTTTCGCTGCAGATGGCCGATATCTAATCAGGAGGTTGTTGGCTTAGACCAGGTGGGGCGAGGAGGGGTGGGGGCAGAAGGAGATTCTGCTATTTGCCACATGTAAACTCTCGTGAGACCCCGAAACGAAACAACGGAACCTAGCGAACTTCTTTTAGACCACATTGTGAAAACCTATGAACTCTTCTAAAGCCAATACGGGCATATATGATGAAGCTTACAGTCCGTCGGCAAGGCGGATGAATGGGGCGTGTCAGCGTGGCTGCCTGTTGACGCCGGCCGCCAACTCGTTCTTTGTCTTTTTTCTTATGCGGCAAGCGAACAACTCCGCATCAATATTGTTCGTACAGCGTCTTCCACCAGGTAAGTGTCCATATCGCTCTCCTTCAAGCACCTGATTGAACGGGCTGACAGGCGAGCCAAAACTCAGATCGCGTTGACACGTCTCCATCATCTGTAGCGAACGAACGTATCAGATCGTGAGGTACAAAGTAGCACAGGTCTCCAAAGAAACTAATCCATTCCCCCCCCTCCCTTCCTCCACTCAAAACATCGTCTAAAACACTCGGCTCAGCAACTCAGTAAAATATAGAAAACTTCATAAAGAAAAAAGAAAAATTAATCAGAGGTTCGTACTTCTTAGAAAACAGTCTTAACACGAATCCCGATGCTAGGTTCTTCTAAATTCTAACGAAAGATTCGAAGAAAAAGCTCAAAAATTAAGTTCCAATGGGATGCCCTTACACGCGGGGAAGAGGGCTAAACGAACATTTTCTGTGGTACAAAAGATACGATGATAAAAACCTCAACAATGATGTGCAACAAACCTGTAATTCATCATTGTCTTGAACAGCAGATTGTGATTAGCCGTTTTTCTTTTTTATAATATTTCCTTTGTCTTGTTACGGGTTGTTATCCGTTACGATAAGATCTACTTTTCTTTTATCTTTTTTTGTAAATCTATGAGGCTCTTATTTTTTTATAAAAGTTTTATATATTGTATATTTCTGTTTTTTTCTTTCTATATAATTCTCCAGAACTTTCTCGTGTTTTAGAAAAGGGTGAGCAAACATAATGGCACTTCGTAACTAGTAAATTCGTTTTTAGGATGCGCCACGCAATCGGCTTGACTTCGAAAACTTAATCTGATTGGGAATACCATCAGTTCTATGCGATGATTTCCGGTAATCTGCCAATAACCGCAGCGTTTTTCTTTTCAAACACACCAGGTGTCAATTTGAAGCAGAACGAAAATAATGGAAAGTTTGTAGGCTGGAAGGGTTCGAGCCAAATATTCGACTCCAGGGCTGCTCCTATATGAGAGCTCCTAAATCGCCCATCAACGACCACTTCTGCTTTGGCCAAAGAATAATAGAGCTAGGAATCCTTGCACACTAACTACTTTCGCCCAGATGAGGGTACATGGCGAGTCATTATCTGTGTATTTCCAGTGCATCCGTGGGGCCCAGAAAGTGACAGATGCCCCAGCTGTCCTAGTGAGTGAAAATCCGCACAACGCCAACTTCTCGCCTAGAAATGTCATCCGATCTGCTTCGATGAGCTGTAAAAAGCGTCGCCGCCGAACGAGGCAGTTCGGCTGCCGCTGCGACCGACTTCAACCCTCTTGGATGGTGTGAGAGAGTGGATATAAGAGTGAGTTCCAAACCTCAAACAAACAATACGAACTCATCGACAGATCGAGTTTCACCACCCTCGTTAGCCTCACGGACCGACCCTTTCGAGGCTGGATTGAGGTATTGAAAGCGATATTATTGGAATACTTCGGAAATTCCGTAAGACCAGACGATAAATTTCGCTGGGGAGTGGTCTTCAAATGACATTCTGCAGAGGAACAGAAGCCTCCAATGGAGCAGCCCTTGTCTGCTCAGAAGAGTTCGTTTACCCTTTCAGACGATTTAGGTCTCCCTGAAATGATGTGCCAGACATACTGGCAAATGAAGTAAAGAAGTACCACCTCTATGATCTAGGGGAACTTCAGCAACCCCCTTACCAGTTCTCAGAAGGCAGTACTGGCTTCTCATGAAACGAGTCCAGGAGCAGACCTGCCACTTTTTCCTAGAAAAACGCTGATGACGGTATAAAGCACCTCGACGGAAAATCCTTTGAAAATTGCTTCTAACACGGAAATCCAACAAACCCTCTGACGCTTTTCATTCAGTGATCTTAGCGCTACGAAATCGATGCCATTTGTTTGGTTATTGGTCAGGCTTCACGGGAAAAATTCCGGCAAATCACCTGTCACAAAACACATCGATGACAGATCGAATGACATGAAGCTCGCCTCCTCAACAACAGTTGCCCACTGACGCTTTAGCTCTCAAGAAACATTTATAGTGGCCATTTACCAAAGGAAACTTCTGCTACAAGCTTACTTGCCAACTAGAAGTGATATGAAGTTATGATCTGGAATAGGAGAGTCGCCACCCGGAATCTAGGTGGCCCCCAGGTTGGGAACTGCCCACGCTTTTGCTGTATGGTTATGTTCTTAACTGCATTTCATCTGTTTTCCTTAGGCAAGGGTAAGAAACGGAGTGGATATGGTGGCAAGTGACGCCTCTGGAGCACGAGCACGATTCAGGGACAACTGGAAAAAAGAGTAACAAATGAATGGGAAAAGAAAGCACTCCAAAAGACAAACGGTCCGTTTTGCCCCATCCCTTCCTCAGATGAACCATAATTATTCCGTCAACCCCGTGGCTCATGAAACCTTAAATGGAATTCTGTTCGCCAAGCTTTCCATCACTTTTGCAAGGTTACTCGGCAACATATAAGTCGTTGAAGGACGAAAAAGTGTTGAGTTGCCCACAACACAGAGCTGCCCCTTGGTAAATCAGGTGCCGTCACAAAAAATCGTTCTAGAATCAAAAATTCGGATCAAAATTCTAAGTTAAAGTAAAATGCTTGGCTCGTGCCGAAGAGGCATCGGCCAAGGCGGAAAACTCCATCCTTTACCCTTTCTCTTACCAGTACACAAACTACCGATCAACATGGTTTCACGGAACAATTATGACAGTTGACCAATGTTTTGATTGCCTTCTCAAGGACTCCATGCATAAAGGAAGGGACCACACTCGAGCGAATGGTCCCGTGATTTTGGCCACTCGGCTCCACGACCACGATGGCCCGTCGAAGGGTTTCAATTTCAAAGGCGCTCGAGCCACAAACGCAACCCAATCACAGCCACTTCAGACGAACACCATTACGCAATGAGATGAACGGGGAATTCTCGCGTCAACGCACGCGTAGCCATGCTCTTTGGCCAACGACCCGAATGTGTATAAGTGAGCCCAGAATTTGTGGATGAAAATACGCGCCACTGCAAAATACCGTATACCTCAAATACCAATACCAGAAATACCAGAGCTTAATCTCACTTCTGACACATTCCATAAACAATGATTAATGTAGAGAACCTACGAAATACTGCGACAGCAACTATTCCACAGCATATAGATAAGTCTCAAGATCAGGCGCGCGCACCTTGTATGATCTCAGGAGTAAAAGGATCGACGTAGCTTGTATCCAGTCTGTTTTTTTTGTAATTTATGCAGCAATAGCACATTCCGCGTGCGTTGAAGATTTCGGTGGGATTCGTGCGAGTCTCATGGCCTCGACCTCGAGGATGTAAGCAAATGTCGAAGAAGCAAAAGAAGTTGCGAATGAATTCCGTTTCTCCCGGCTCGGCGGATCGGCTCCGATACTCATGCGGCCCCACCACCATTCCTTTGGATCGTTATCCTGCCGTCGTAACGCGTCCCGCGGATGACTAGGTCCCGAAAATGTGAATCCCCTTAATTTACTTTGATAGATCCCATAACACTTCTGAGGCTAACGAAAAATCGATGATCGACCAACCGCTGCATGAACGGTGACCAGTAAGTCGGTAAGCCAACTGATTTTTCGACAAGTCTGCCAGTTGACCCAATGCTCAAGTAACGCGAGAGAACATACTTGCGCATAGCTTTGATATCTCATCCTGATGGTGTCCAGGCTACTAACTCCTGAAATTAAATTATTACATTTTATTGGTCCACAGAAACGATTTCGAGATCAAGTTTCACGTTAGAAAAGTATCATTGTCTGATGGCTTTCATGGCTGGTGCGAATTCAAAATGGTTTGCATTCTTAATCCGATTTTCAAAACCAGCTAATATAATCGTTCGCACCGTTCAGATCTATGACCCAGTACCGTACAGATCTATTCAGGAGGGTTGATGATCGTCCTGCGGCTTGCTCTAGGGCGGGTAGGCTTTGCGTGCAAGTACGTGGGAGGGCGAGAGGGCAGTCATACGTCGAGGATCAACTGCGCTATTTCTCTTTTACACTGTAACACTTTCGAATGTCTTGGTTATTGGAGACCCCATTTCTCTCGGAAGAGCGTAAATATCAACAAAGGGTATAAACTATATTGAACTCTCATTAGATGATCATCACATTGTGAAAAACGCGTAGATGATCTTGCCATGCTAAAAGCCATACGTGAGCATATTCACTATAAATGGGAAGCTTACAGCGTCCTCTCGTTGTGCTAGTTCAGCCTGGAGTAAGCGGAGTGTGCGTATGCGTTGCATGGCCGAGCTATCAGTAACGGTATACTTCGGCTCCATGTGCAGTGGCGACTAGTTCATTCGTTCTCCTATCGTTTATTTTAATATTACGTCTACGACACATGTCTGAGTCACACACCAAACTTCTCGGGACTCATGAAGTTGTTCCTAATCAGAATCCGTAGTTTCACATCTAGCTAATCCATGCTCAGTCACCGTCTGGTATTGGAAGAAGGACTTCGGAACGACGGCGTGCCGAGAACCAAGAAACTATATTCACGACCCGCTCGATAGTTGACCTCATTGCGACGTTCAACTACGTGTTTCAGTTTCTGCAGCGAACGATACTAGTACATCTGCAAAACTGTCCCGGAGTCTGTGCGGTATTTGCGAAGTAGTGACAGTTTCCAGAGGTCCACAGGATCGGCGTCGCGCAATAATATTAAATTGAAGACTAGCGAACCCCCTATTCGACAGACCGAAAGCCACTTGCCGTCGTCGTGGAAGATCACGAGTGGGAGCCCGCGATCATAGACTTGTCACCTCACAATGTCCACCTACCTCCAAAAAATCTTAACGTGGACGCTCCAACTAATTTACACCCTTCGAAGTGTGCGTGCACTCCCAGGCAACTCGGTAAATATATCCTTGAATATGATATATCTCAATGAAAACTAATAGGGATCCAAAATTATATGTAACCGGCACAAGGTTTGTTTACTCGCAAAGTCTGATCAAAACATTGGCAACAACATTCTACAATAAAACCTGTCAATCAAATGGTCGTTGAAGGCCGAACGTGCGATGCTAGGTTTTTCCTAATTTCGAAACGAAGATTCGAAGAAAAAGCTCAAAAAAATTAAGTTCCATGTGTGCGCTCCGGTACCAACGCAGGGCGAGAGGGCCGTACCCCGAACAACTTCTGTGGAGAAAAGATACGGATAAAAACCAACAATTGTGCAACAAACCTGTATTCATCAGTGATCTTGAACACAGATGTTATAGCCGTCTGGAAGATGCCGCTGTTTGACGGGGGTGTACCGTAGAGAAGACACTCTTTACCTGAAAACACTGAGGGCTCAATCTGAAAAAAAATAGGGAACAGTAAACCGAATTCTGCTGCTACAACTCGAATTTCCGGTAAAGGGTGATAAAATAATTGCAGTTGTAACTAGTAAATCATTTTTATGGATGCGCACACCGCAACCGGACTTGACTTCGGAAAGCTTAATCTGGATTGCGGAATACCAATCAGTTTCATGCGATGAATTATCCGGTAATGCTGCCATGCCCACGTTTTCTGTTTGCCAAAACGCGAACGCAGGTTCAATTGAAGAGAACCTAAAAAATGAAAGATTTAGGGTGTAGACTTGGAGGGTCAAGCAATACGACCCCTGCCAGGAACTACATCGCTGTAGAGAGCTCCAATTGCCACAATACCACTTCTGCTTTCCAAGCTGAAAGAGACTACAAATTCCTTCCACACAACTACTTTTGCCAGATGAAGGGTACATGGCGAGTCATTATCTGTGTATTTCCAGTGCATCCGTGGGGCCCAGAAAGTGACAGATGCCCCAGCTGTCCTAGTGAGTGAAAATCCGCACAAACGCAACTTTCGCCTAGGAAATGTCATGCCCGATCTGCTTCGAAAGATGAGCTTAAGGTCGGCGGCCGCGAACGAGGCAGTTCGGCTGCCGCTGCGACCGACTTCAACCCTCTTGGATGGTGTGAGAGAGTGGATATAAGAGTGAGTTCCAAACCTCAAACAAACAATACGAACTCATCGACAGATCGAGTTTCACCACCCTCGTTAGCCTCACGGACCGACCCTTTCGAGGCTAGATTGAGGTATTGAAAGCGATATCATTCGAATACTTTCAGACATTCTAGACGCAGAAGATAAATTTCTGGGAGTGAGGTCTTCAATGACGTCGCAGAGGAACAGAACGCCGTCCAACTGGAGGGCCAAGACCTCCGTTCTGCTCAGAGAGCATTCGTTTACCACTTTCAGACGATTTAAGGTCCTCCGCCTGAAGATGTACTTGGGCCAAGACATCATGGGGAATGAAGACAGAAGAAGTACACTTCTATTGATCCCGAGGACTGTCTTATTGAACTGTCAGGCTTTGACAACCACTTTCATCAACTTATTGTTAGTCACTTCTTTCCTCCCCATAAGTTTACCACTTTAACAGATGTTCTTGGTCCAGTCAAAGCTCACTAACTGCTCAACAACTACAGCGTGAATAGTAGTGACCACTCACCCCTTGACTTGGCTCCTAATGCGATCAGCGTACAGTCCTGTCCGCTGAACACTCCCTGTACGAGCTCCGGCAGTACGTTTGAGCAAATTTTATCCTGAACCAGTGGACAGTAAAAGACATCTGATTGAGATGATAAGACCAACATTCTTACCTGGGTGATATCAGGTCCAAAGACGTTCTCAAAGGCATTTTTCGAGTGTGGTTTGACCGCTTCAGCGATGTGGATTTGATTCGGCGCTGGCACAGTGATACCTCCCGTGGCAACGTCATCTCCCGACACCATAGCGCATATTCGTAACTGAAAATCGAAGGAATAAATTCCCCAATGAATTTACCAATGGAATCAATTTCAGAGACCCTCGGGGTGGGTGAAACAAGAGAACCCTTGTTCAAAATTCACTCCATATGGCTATCGAAAAAACATGTCAATAGGAAAGGCAAGAGCCTTAACTTCCAGTTATTGAAGGAAAATTAAGTAAAGAAAGTATGTGTCTGGGGCTCATTTCGTCTCGTTCAGGCTAACTTTGCACTTACCTACTCCCTTGGGTATCGTGAAACCCTCAAGTTGGCACTTTTACAGATAAAATCGGGCCTAGTGGTGGACTCCTTACCCCTGGGTGATGCAGATCCTCGACCCTTCAGTCCACAATTAAGATCAGCCTGATGGATATCTTAACAGCGCTATTTGTCCGCATTAGACCTTCAGGATACACGTAAAATGAGGTGTGGAGGCAGTAAACCATTGCCATCGTAAATCCTACGGGGAAGTGGTGATCCCAACGGAGTGTCCCAGAACGTCTCCCACACTTAAAGGTTTTCAAATCGAACAGTTTATGCGTAAGACTAAAAGCCTGACCAATAATTCTTGCCACTTTTCACAAGAGTAGGAACTTCAAAGTTAAGAAGCCAATGAGAATGAAATAATATTTGATAGCAGAGAAATAACAATTAGAAAAGAGGTCTCGGACGTCCCAGAACAAGATGGCTGGACGACTTCGCTCGTTATACTGGAGCAAGGACCAGAGACATGACTAGAAGATGGACGACATTATTCACCGCTGCCGGTTCCTCGAGAATCTTCGCACAAATGATCAAAAACACTCTATTTGTGTCTGTGCGATAAAGAATAAAGTATAAGTATATAGTATAGTTATAGTATTAGTTATAGCCATTAGATATATGTGGCCCGTCCGCCCCCCCCCCCCCCTCACCGCTCTCTTTTCTCTCACCAGGTAATATGACTGCGTGAAAATGGTGTGATCTGACATCAGAAATCTCTTTATCCCATCGAAACACATTCTTGCAGCCAACCAAGCGTAGAAAAGAATCTTACGGAGTAAATGCTGCATTTTGGGCGAAATTTAACCCTCAGGTTTGCTGAACAGCTTCCAAAAATAAAACTCGACACGAGGTTAGCGCCACTTTTTTGCCACCAAATTCAATTATAAAACACCTTAGTGGGCGAAGATGGTGTAATGGCAAAACGTTCGTTTACCACCCACGAAGTTCGGAGTTCGAATCCCATATCGGCGAACGCTTAGACCATTGAACCTTTCACATCCTTCACCCTCCCGAGGCAGGTAGATTACAGCGAAAACTACATATAAGACTCGATGGTCCTTCCAGCGATCAGTAGGCTTACATCTTCTTACTGTACTGTTAAGGAGAGGGAGTAGACACCAAGAGTTAGCTCAGTTCTCGCTTCGCACATGCTGTTAGACGTTTCGACAGAAACTGAACAGCTACATCCTTCCCTTCTGGGAGTCTCGGAGCATTGAAATCCATGCAGTTCCGTAAAGTGAAACTCACGGACAATGCCCTGTGGGAGGATTCATAACGGATTTTAGAGCACAAATCCTCCCACAGGCTCCTAACATTTATTCTAAGTTCGTACCGTCTCCAACACAGACAAATCTAATCTTTCAGTACTTCTATCCCCCTTGACCACTCTTGTCATTCTGCACTGTCCACATTGTATCCATAAGGCACGCCATAAATCTACTCAAAAACCTCTTCTAAGCGTCAATCATGGCTAACGGCCAACGTATTGTATCTATCGGGGGTCACACCCCGCAGCGGGGTGTCGATCCAATGGACAGCGGCGTATAATTGACCATCAAATCATAGAACAACTCGCTTTAGCCTACAATAACACCATAGGAACTCCCTTTAGATACAATGAGTTATTCAAAAGGAGAAAAAATAATTTGGAAAGAATCAATTTTTCAACAGCAATACGATGATTTTTCATTCTAACCTAATAGATAGCTGTCTTCTTCTATTCAGCTGACTATAGCGCGTCCTGTGAGCAAAAGAAAATAAATAAATGAACAAATAAATAAACAAAGGTAACGTAACAGACATTTCGGCGCAGTTCGGCAACGGTGGGAGGCGGGGGGGGGAGATTTTTGCACTTTTGCTACCTACCACCAACGTGTCC